TTGTTTATGGCTACCACACCCTGGGAAGCTCCAGGAAGCATGGGATTAAGGCACCCCCAAGATCTAGGTACACAGCACTGCCAGTTCTCCCACAGTAGCTAAGCCCTCTTTGACACTCCACCCATGCTAACCTCCTCACCCTTTGAAGCGGTGATGGAAACAACAGCCCTTGTCCACAGTGCTCCCCACAAGCACCATTAGAGGCTGCGTCTACACTGCGGTGCCAGTTCAGGATATCAGAGGTATCCCAAAATAGCCATCCCACATCTTATCAGTGTGCCCGTTAGATTTCAAAATAACGGGCTCGCTATTTTGACGTCCCTGTAAACCTCATTCCATGAGGATTAAGGGACGTTTTGGAATAGCAGGTTATTTAGAAATGTGGCGCTGTGTAGACCACGCCAAATGACAAAATATACTATTTCAAAATGGACTCAAAATAAGCTACGCAATTTGTGTCACTTAAATTGCTTATTTTGAGCTCCAGGTGCAGTGTAGATGCACCCCTACCTTCATGGGAGGGCAGGAAGAGGCTCACAGCGTGTATCCCATTACAGGCTGAACCTCTCCAGTTTGGCAACGTCTGTGGCCTGGCATGATTTTAATTAGCCAAGTGCCCATTTATCCTGGGTGTGGCCAAGTTTCCTGCGGTCATATAAAGTTTGTTTACAGCTGCCAGTCCTGGCTCTCAGGCTAGGTCTACACTCACGGCTTGCATTAAAACCAGACTTGTGCTTAGCAGCGTTGCCAGCACTTCCACAGCTTCCTGGGCTCTTTAGGGGTAAGTTAGAGCTAAAGAACAGCAGAGGACATTGAGGCTATGTCTACACTCGCAGCATCTTGCCTGAGAAATATGAAAATGAGGCTAAGCGTGGAATATCGCCGAGCCTCATTTGCATACCTAATAAGCTGCCATTTTTTGCAGAAGAGGCTCTTGCGCCAGAAGGAGCTGTCTACACTGCCCCTTCTTGCGCAACAAAAACCCTCTTGTGCAATGCTGTTATTCCTGAAAATAATTGGCATAACAGCAATGCACAAGAGGATTTTTCTTGTGCAAGAAGGGGCAATGTAGACAGCCTCTTCTGGCGCAAGAGCCTCTTCTGCAAAAAATGGCAGCTTATTAGGTATGCAAATGAGGCTCGGCGATATTCCACGCTTAGCCTCATTTTCATATTTCTCAGGCAAGATGCTGCGAGTGTAGACATAGCCTCAATGTCCTCTGCTGTTCTTTAGCTCTAACTTACCCCTAAAGAGCCCAGGAAGCTGTGGAAGTGCTGGCAACGCTGCTAAGCACAAGTCTGGTTTTAATGCTTTATCTACTTATTTCCTTGTGCCAATGCAGTGAAACGCTGTAACAGCACTAACGCCCCGTTATGAAGAGAGCTGATCAGCCTGGGCTGGGCACAGGCTCAGAGGGTGTATCAGCCCACTCGCACATTACTAACTAAGCAGCATTACAAGTGGGGTTCCATTTATTCACCTCAGTGACATAAAAAGACTCACTCGCTACAATATTGACCTCCCATAGTTCAGCCAATTCTTCCGTTCAGCACCACTCTGGGACCGATGGTGCCGGACTACAGAAGTTCCACCTGTAGCTGGGAATGTATCTGCCGGGGGGGGGAGGGGGTCTGAGCAGGGATTTCCTGCACTCTTTCAGGGGCTGGCATTAACACCCCCTCATGAGATGTAGAATAGTGGTTGTCAAGCAGGGGTCTGAGGCCCCCTGGGAGCCCACAAGCATGTTTCCAGGAGGCTGCCAAGCATTAGACTCACTGGGGTCCAGAGCAGAAAGCCAAAGTGGGGCTCAGGGCATGGGGTTGAAGCCCAGGCTCTGAGCCCCACCAGCCTGAGCAATGCAGTTTGGTGGGGGCACCTGTGGTCCGAGGCCCCAGGCACCTGCCCTGCTTGCTACCCCCTAACAGCAGGCCTGCTTTCCGATGCAGGAAACCAATTACTGACACAGGTGGGCTGTGGAGTGTTTATAGCATGTTGAGAGCCCATGATGTAGAAGGTAGTTTGCCCTTCTCACAGCAATTGCTTCAGTCTGACTCAAGGTTCATCTGCTACTGGTATTCTGGCATGAGCACTAGGGAAGACTCAGAGCTAGGTTCCTGGTCCTGGGATCGGTCTCGTAAACCTGATTGCAAGACTGCACTAGCGCAGGGCTTTAAACATGGCGATTATCCAGGGAGAGACGGGTCCTAGCCTTGGCCTTTGTCCATGTTGCTATTAAATCACACTCAGGGCAGAAGCTATTCTTTAGCACACCAAATTAGGCAGCTTGACTGAAGGGATTAGTGCTTCAGCGAGTACTATTTTTAAAAGAGAAAAACTTTAAATAAAAAAAATGGTTTAGTATTTCCTGAAAGTTTTGGCTTCCACCCTTACCTCAGTCAATATTCAAAGCGCCCTGCTCTGCCCCAGCTACGGGGAACATTTTGCACCCAATAATTAGTTGCTCCCTTTGTTTTGGGCCCAACTGAGCCTGCCTCTAAGCCCTGGTCTGCACAAGGACTTTATTTCAAAATAACCCCCACTCCAAAGTTGACATTTATAAGTGTAGCATCCTCACTACTAAGCCCATTATTTTGAGATATCGGGCTGCAGAATTTGAAATCTGTACTCCAGCTTTTCATCAGGAGTAACACTAATTCCAAAAGAGTTATTTCAAAATAGTAGGAGTGTGGCTGCACCAGTGTCGCTATTTCAAAATAACTATGCCCCAGAGTAATTCAAATTAATTATGCCTCTGGGCTTCCTGGGACTCTAAGGGTACGTCTAGACTACCGGGTTTTGTCGACAGAAGTTTTGTCGACAGATACTGTCGACAAAACTTCTGTCGACATAGAGCGTCCAGACACATTGAGTTCTGTCGACAAAGCAAGCTGCTTTGTCGACAGAACCCTGTAGTCTAGACGCAACCCTACAGGCAATAACACCTTCTGTTGACAGAACTCTGTCGACAGAAGGTGTTATGCCTCGTAAAATGAGGTATACCAGCGTCGACAAAACTGCTGAGTTCTGTCGACGTTATGTCGACAGAACTCAGCGGTAGTGTAGACGCTGGTATAGTTTTGTCGACAAAAGTCCACTTTTGTCGACAAAACTCAGTAGTCTAGACACACCCTAAGTTGAGGTAGCACATCTGCATTAACGGAGCTAATTTCGAGGCTTCCCCGGATTGTGGGCACGCTAATTCGATTTTATTAAATCAGGAGATAAGTTGAATTTACTAATTTCAAAATAGTTTCCTAGTGTAGACATGGCCTAACCGACACCCTGAATAGCACCGGACAGAGAGCAATGCCTTTCTGATGGAAATTCGCTCGCTCACCTCATCCAGTAGAGAGCCTCTGAAGCAGTCAGGAAACAAGCAGGTTTTGTTTATACAAAAGTAGTGTTTATTGAAGACAAATCTATGCACGCGGGGGTCGGTCACCCAGCGAGGAAGGAAACAAGCGTCTTGTGCAAGCCCCATTGGGACACTTCTCCAGCAGGGCAGCAATCAGGGGATTTACTGAGTTAAAGCTGCAGTCATCGCCCACCAGAACAGCACTGACTTCCCAGACAGATTTACAGCCCAAGAGTTACCACAGTGGTTCAGCCTGCAAGAGCCATCCAGATGTGTCCCTCCACCTCCAAACAGAGACTGTAGCAATGCCCTTATCCGACGCCAACAGGCCTATCTCCCCTGAATGCAACCGAGGGGCCTCGCTTGCAACTCTCGCCCACAGAGCATGCCTGGTTACTGCTTTGGATTTGGATTTCGATAGGCATAATCCCCCTCGGCTGCAGTTTTGCTAAATCGGGGCGTTTGCTGAAAGGTACTGCTCCCCGGGTCCTGTTTCCTTCTTGGGGTTTTCAGAGGTTGTTAGAACATAGCAATTCCATTACACAGGGGTAGCTGTGCAGGTTGGATAACACACTATTTCAACTAGTATTAAAAAAAGAGAGAGAGATCTAGACAAAGACATTAATGCCAGACATGGGCGGTGGGGACTGCATGGCTTGGGGAAACAAGCCCTTCCCTGGCCCCGCTCTTTGCACACCCACCAGTGTCCCCTCCCCTGGGGCTGCTGCTGCCCCTGCCCCTGCCCAGCATCAATAGCCCCATCCCCAAAGTTCCAGCGGACTGCGCAACTCTAGCTACCCAGCACTCCAGAGAGGACAGCTGCGAGGTGAGACGCCAGCCTTCCCGGGCAATGCTTCCTGACTGGACCCTTCACCAGCAAGCCCCCTTTTCTGCAGCCAAGCCACCAGCCCCAGCACTGGGCAGCCAGAGAGGTGGCAGTACCAGAACAGGCAGCACAACACAGTCCCCCACCTGCCTGCCCCAGCCTCTGGCACTGCAAGAGCAGGCTGGGGGAGGGAGCCTGGGAGACTCCAGTGGAGCATGGGTGGGGCCAGGTGAGGCAGTATGGGAAGGCATTGCCTTCCCCTGCCTATGCTACCCCCGCCCATGATGCCAGCAGTTAAATATTAGTCAGGAATCTTATCCGGTCCTTCACAGTGGGCGTTACCATGGTAGCATTTCCCCATGCCCGTCCAGGAACAAGCCATTGTCTTTTTCACTGAGGTTAGCCAGAAGTGAGAGGATACCTGGGATAGCGTCTTGTATCTGCAAGGGGGCCTACGAGGATCAAAATTAAAGAATTATTATTCGGCATATCCTGGGGGAAAGGCAAGCAACAGAGTTCTACTTGAACAAGTACTTCTTCAACATGGCACTCAATACAGTTTCCTAGCTACTGAGATGCCTTAAGGCAGAGCTACTCAACTTTGGAAGTTCTGGGGGCCACAATGATACTCACAGCACGTGCCGAGGGCCGCAACTTAAGTGTCGTTGCACGTACATACAAATATGTATGCAAATAGCTTCTTTCACACTGACGAGCATGAATACAAAGATTAAGGCAAGACTACACAGCACGCAGGCCCCATTTAAGTCAGTTCTGCTCATAGTAATAATATGCAATATTTACCTAATTTCCACCCATATGACAGCACTTTTAATGAGCAATGACAGTCCAGGAATTTAACTACTAAAATGCATATCAAATGCAGACCATTCTATTGACTGCTTTTTTATTTTGGCTCCCACCCATGGGCCATGTGTTGAGCCCCGTGTAAACCCAAACTGCACTGCGGGCCGCAAACAAATGGGCCAGGGCCACATGCAGCCTGCAAGCCACATGTTGAGTAGCCCTGGCTTAAGGCAACTGGCTCTTTGGGTATTCTCTTAGGGTGAGTCTACACTGCGGAACTATTTTGGGATGCCAGAAGTATCCTAAAAAAGCTATTCCGTGTGTATTGAAGCAGCCTGTTATTTGAAATAATGGGTGGCTTATTCTGACGTCCCGGTAATCGTCGTTCCACGAGGGTTAAGGGGAATTTCAGAATAGTGCATTTTCAAAATTTGGTGCCACGTAGACAGTGCCAAATTTTGAATTAAGCTATTTCGAAATACACTTGAAATAAGCAACACAATTTTGAGTAGCACAAGTAGCTTATATCGAGCTAAAGGTGCTGTGTAGACACAGCCTTACTATATTGCAAGAGAGCGCCAGTATCTCTCAAGGTGTTGTGAAGCAAGGTTGATTCTACTTTTAAAAAATATAATAACTAATAACTAATAATAATTAATAAAGTATCTTGATGTCACTAACCAGGTCTCCTCCCATGTCAGTTTGAATCCAGCCTGGGTGCAGAGAAATACAAAGGATTCCCTCTGCTTTCAAGTCTGCAGCAAGACATCTGGTGATCATATTCAGTGCAGTCTAGAAGAGGGAAGATGGCTTTTGTTAGTATGTCTGTTTCACAAAGTTAGTATCTTGCTTCCTGCCCTCCTCCCCACTTCCCCAATGCGTCAAGGAGCAGTAGAAAGGTCCCCTCCAGAAAATGTACATCAAACACTGTGGAATTCAGTCTCCTATCATTTAGAGGATGCTAATCAAGAATAACTTGACAAAATTCCATGGAGCAAGCGAGACAAGAATCAGGAGCCTATCTTTTGGTTGAGTTCTGATGGATTTGGAAGTGTAGTTTGACACTCACATAAAACAGACTAAATATTCTTAGCTACTGGGTTCTGAAGACTGTATCTATATACTGTACTCACAGCCTCCCACCCTGCTGTATAGATATAGCCTTTCAGAACCCCAGAACTAAGAATATTTACAAGACTTTTTCATCCAAATATTTCAGACTCAAGAGAAAGAAAAGGTAATCTCTTCCTTCTCTCCCAGCCTACAGGACAGCTTGATGAGTTTAATGGAGAGACTTTGTGTGCAATCACAGCTGCATTGACTATCTGAAGAAACAAGGATGTTCCATTTAGTTCTAAAGCAGGAAAGTCCCAGAACCTGGAATTGAGAAGCGTGTGCTGGTGTAGAGGGGAGGAAGAAGGAGGAAGGAAAATGTATGTCATTTAACCCAAGTAGCCAGTATTAGATTAAATCCCTCCTTGGATAACTGAAACTAACACCAGGTCAATCACAGTCCCTGGATGTGTAGATGTTAAAAACCCATATTCTGTGATTAGTGTCAACATTAGAGATTTCCACACCTTGCAGGCACTTTAATATTTACCCTAATGATGCCCTTGCTGAAGTTGTTGGACAGAGGTGGCCAATAGGGACATCGTAAGTCTCTAGGAAGATCACCTAAGAATATTGGGGACATCTAGAAACATCCTTTTCAGAAAGAGAATTGACAAGGCTCTTGACTGGATTGTACAAGTGTTAGCAGTTAAGGGCAGCATGCTCCGTACTCCTGATGGAGATGTTTGCGGTAAAAGGGAGCCTTGTACAGAAAGAAGGACCACACCAGCTGTCTCCAGTTTTATTTTATACTGACTAGCACGTCTTTAGCCAGTAGTCAAGTCATGACATGCAGTACTAGAAGATTTACCCAGCGTTACTCGGGTCCTTAATTTTTGGGTTTTGGGTAATAAAATGAAAATGTCCAGGCTTAACTGAAATCATTGCTCTGGGGTGGGACTGGGGAGGAGAAATTCAGGATGCAGGCTGCCCTGGGGAAGAGAGGACAACCCCAGTCCTCTCACCCTGCAGCAGCGTGGGGCCAGGTGAGAAGCGCCTCTCCATGGCCGCTGCAGCACCAGCAGGCACAGCTGGGAGCGGGTGCATGTCCCTCAGCTGGGGCAGTCCAGTTCATCTGCCCCTTGCACTCTCTAGCCAGAGCAAGGAATGCAGCAGTCTGTGCACTTTCCCCTCACTCCCTGATGGAGGGGTACAGCCAACAATGTTCCCAAACAAATTGGAGAGGGGTGGGTGAAGTCCCCCCCTACAGGACACCTGGGACGAGAGGCCCAAGGCTGGTGCAGTCTTAGGGGGCAGAGGAGAGAAGTACCCCCAGCCAGCCCCTTTCACCTGCCTGGTGATTCTGTCTCTTTTCTATATAGTTTTATGAGAAGCAATCCCATTCCAGGCACATCCCATTGTCCTGCCACCACCAAACCCTTGTCTTGTTTTAAGTTATGATAAAAGGAAGCTGCAAACCGAACTTGGTGATCCTAGCTCTTACCGTGTACGAGGCGTTCTTGACTAAACAGACAATCTCTCTCAAAAACATATAGTAGATAATAGAATGAACCCCTATTTCTAAGTTACCAGTCGAGGGTCGCCTTTAGCTCAGAGCATTGTCTGGTTGCAGTTGAGCATAGCTTTGCAAAACACCCACCTTTGCTATTCTATAGGGATAGACTTGGAGGAACATTTCATTTTCCTGGACCAGTTGCATGGAGGCAGAAAGCGAGGACATATTGATAATGGCTGCGCGGTGACAACCCATCCCAGTGCCCAACTGGGCTGCCTTCCTCAGAAGGGGAAGAAAGGCCTGCAAGAGAAAGAGGGCTCATTTTATTCAAACCTAATTTCAAACTCACCCTGACCAAGACCCATTTGGGATTAAAACCCCTGTTCTATTAAGAGCCACGTGCAATGCAGTCGTGACAATGTTACGCTTGCAGTGACATTACTCAACTAGGAGACCCTCGACAGAGCTAGCTAGCGATGGATGTGGACTTTAGAACCACCACAGACCTCTCATTCATATGAAGCAAGGGGCTTCTCAATTTAATTCTTTGCTTATTTACAGTCCCAGATTCTGTTCAGCACCTTGTACTGTAGACACCTGAAAAAAGACAAAATTACTGTTGTCCCAGAGACAACCTTTGCTTTCCACATTAAGGGTACGTCTACCCAGCAGTGTTATTTCAGGATAACGGACGTCATTCCGAAATAAAGTCCGCGTCTACACTACAAGCCGTTATTTTGACATAATGTTCAAATCACGTCGAGCTGGAGGACTTCTTACTCCGACTCCTGTAACCCTCATTGTAGAGGAGGAAGGGAAGTCGAAGGCTCTTCCTTGGACTTCCTGCTGTGTAGACAGCACAAAAAGCCAAAAATAAGCTACTTTGATGTAAGCTACACAACTGACGTAGCTCAAGTTGCGTCACTTATTTCGGCTTTGGCCCTGCTGTGTAGGTGTGCCCCAAAAGATTAGAGGCTAACTTGAAGGAGCCTACCACATACTGTTCATTGCTCAAGCCAGAGAGTGCGGTGAAACTTTATGTGGAGTGGGTCACGCTCCCCATATTCGTCTAGGATGGACCTTGGCCTGCTTGCCTAACTGGCCTCTCTCCAGAAGAGTTTCGGAGCTTTGAGAGTCAACATTAGCCAGGGGCCCATGCAGCTAAGCAGGAGTTTGTCTCTGCAAGATTCACCCGGCTTGCCCGCAAAGAGGCCTAGGCGGGGCTCATGAAGATTTATATGGGCAGCACCCAAAGTACAGAGCCTTTTTGGCCTCTTTCTCAAAGCAAACCCACGCCCCAGTCTTACCTTAGTGACCATCAACTGAGCAACAGTGTTGGTTTTGTAAATGGTCAGCATGATTTCAGCAGTGACTTCTTCCAGGGAAGCACTCATGTTGATCCCAGCATTGTTAATGAGGCAGTTCAGCCCTTTGTCTCCCAAAATCTCTTCCACTTCCTTGACGACTTTCTTTATGCTGTTTTCACAGACCACGTCTGCCGCAGGGAGGAAAGGAAACAGCAGCAATGAAGTGGATGCTGTAGGACAGTGACAGTCTGTGTCCCCAGTGTGGGCTGGAAACACAAAGCCAGTGCAGCCACCTGGCTCAGGATAGGTGCAGGAAATACACTCGGGTGGAAATTTAAGTCCCACTGCAATGAGCCTGGGCAGAACACTTAGGCATGGTCCCACATGTCCTCCCTTTAACAAAGGTGGAAGATCAGGTTTCCTCACCCCAGCCTGATACATGCATGCATGGCCTGTCCCGATACTTCACGCCCGGAAGGGAGGGGAGTGCCCCACAATTTCTTGTTCATCTCATCAAAATCAGGGCACAAGGAGGAAATAGGATCTTCATCCAGCACCAGGACTGGGACCGTGTGATTAAAGATCAGCTAACGGAGCTGAGAGTTTGGGTCCTCACCCATCAAAACCATTCCAGGCCGGAGGAGATCCACACCAAGTGGAGTTTTGACTCAGTCAGAGATTGACAATACATTGGCGAGTTTTAGTCAGGGGAAGGGGGTTCTCCTTAACAGGCAGAAGTACACAGCCTGTGACCAATTCCCTAGGCAGCACAGCTTCACAGGCGATTAATCAGCCTCGCCCAGTCAGAGGGTCAGGACTCTATGCATGGAGCTGACTGGGCAGGGCTGATTAATCACCTGTGAAGCTGTGCTGCCATGTAGTTAAAAGGAACACTGCTTGTCACAGACAAGTAAACTAACCCTGAAAGCCAAGTATTAACACTGACCCTTTCTCAAACACTAGATGGAGGTGGGCAACCCATTTAACAAAGAGAGCCAAAACAGCTACAGAGAAGGGGGGGAGCTGCCCCTTTAAGAAACAAGCTTAGGCTTTTTGGCCATCCACGGCCACCAAAGGGAACCCGGGGGGTAGAGGGAGCCATTGGGGGGGGTTCAGGAGTGGCTTCACAAGCTGCAATTTCGGGGGAGAAGAGCCACAGGTTGGCCACCCCTGCACTAGACAAACCGGGTGCATCTAGACTGGCAAGATTTTGCGCAAAAACTTGCCAGCTGTCTACACTGGCTGCTTGAATTTGCGCAAGAACACTGACTTTGTAATGTACAAAAATCAGTGCTTCTTGCGCAAATACTTTCACGCTCCCACTCGGGAAAAAACCCTCTTGCACAAGACTACTTGCGCAAGAGGGTCAGTGTAGACAGGGAAGAACTGTTTTGCGCAAAAAAGCCCCGATGGCTAAAATGGCGATTGAGGCTTTCTTGCGCAAAATCACGTCTAGACTGGCCATGGATGCTTTTGCACAAAAGCACTTTTTGCACAAAAGCATCCTTGCCAATCTAGACGCGCTTTTGCAGAAATACTTTTAATGGAAAAACTTCTGTTAAAAGTATTTCCACAAAATCATGCCAGTCTAGACGCAGCCACCTAGATTGTCCACCTAGCCGTTGTAAGGAGTTTGTACAGTACCAGAGATCTGGAGAGTGGCTGTAAGTTACTAGTGAAGAGCTGAGCTTCCACCCCTGAGTGTCAAAAGTAACCCAACCTTGCAAGGGTAGCACATACTTCTGTGCTGCTTCCACTCACCAAGCTGGAGCAGTCTGATGTTGCTGTACTGCTTGCTGAGCTGCTGGAGTTCCTAGAAACAGAAGGGGAAATGGAGTAGGGGGAGAGTCTTGTCTGCCTGTGGTTATGGCTGGGTTTTCAGAAGCGCTGAGCATTCATCCAGTTAAGCCTCCATGGCAGTGGCATGTGGTGAGCTCTGAGAGGTCAAGCTCTTAGCGACTCACTTAGGAAAGCCACTAGCAGCCTCACAAGCAAACATGTGAGGCATGTACACAGCCAGTCCAGCTGTCAGACAGAACATCATTGGTAAGCAGCATTCCTTGTAAGCTAAGCACTTAGGTGGACATCCCAGGAGAGATCCAAATGCCACCCAGCTGATTAGCAGAGTGCCCACAGCGTGTGTTTCTATTGGTGGTGCACATTTGCATGTGCCTTGGTGCACATTGTGAAAGCAGGCTCTTTGCTGGCCAGGCCTCTCGCGAGTATTGCCATCCAAGCAAAAGGTCAACTTCCCCTTGATGAAAACCCTTACACAATGTAACTTAAAGATCAGCGACGAACAGGAACCAAAACCAGACCCAAAAAGTTCATGTAAAGTTCGTGCTGGTTGTGCTGACTGTGCCATGCCCGATAAGGCAGAAAAGGAAAAACAGGAAACCATCTCACCCCCTTACTCCTGTCACTTAACAGACAGGGTCTGCTAGCCTATCACAAAAAGCGCGCAAAAGCTTTCTCTATAAAACAGCTTCCCCTCCTATATCAAATTGAGGAATCCTGAATAAACATTGGATGGCGGAATATGAGCCAGGTCCGAGGACTGATCACCCGAGGGCCACCTCCCGCTCACCGAACCAAACGAGTTCCTGTAGAGCGTAACGAATACCAAATATGTTGTTGTTGTAGTTTGTGTGTCTGTTAAATGTAAGTATTGTTATCTGAAATTGTTTAGAGGTATTGTTAAGTAGTAGTGTTAAAAGTTTTAGATAAATGATTAGTCTTATAAGTAAGACTGATGTAAATGTAACTGTTAATAATCCCTAGTCCCTTGTTAACAACTATTGGGATTTAGAGAAACCTCAAAGAATTTTCTTCACTGTATTGCATTTTGCTTATTGGACATTCTAATAATTATTTAGTGCCTACATATGTAAGAAATTGATACAATCATAATTTATATGTAGAAGCCCTTTAATAAAAGTTTAAAAGATATTTAGTAATAGTTTGCCTGTTTCTGCACCTTCCTGGGACTAGCCACATTTCCGAAACTTTTACTTTAAACCACACACATAACAAAATTTATTCCACATACGGATGGGGGGGAAATAGAGGAACGGCTGCTGGTGAGCTCAACCTGTAAAGGGCTTTTTGATAGGACAGTAGAACTGATAAAGTACACCCATGGGGGGGTGCCATGTGGGTCGGGTGAGGGGGCTTAGGGGAAGGTGTGGAAGTGCCCCTGGGCTCACTGGTGGTGAGAAGCAAAGCGACGCAGCTGGGAGCCGGTGGAGCAGAGCACCCTGACTAAGTGGGTTCTGGCCCACGAAAGCTTATGCTCTAATAAGCGTGTTATTCCTTAAGATGCCACAGAGCTCCTTGTTGTTTTCACAGACACAGACTAACCCAGCCGTCCCCTCCCCCCCAAAGAAGGTGTCACTCTCTTTTGGCAGGTACACAAGTGCAATGGTAGCCTTGCTGCTGCTAGACTGTGACAGAGCGGAGGGAGAACACCTTCAGTCCCAGGCATCAAGCAGGCTGTCAACACCTGGCCAAATGAGACAGCAGGACGGGTGGTTCTTTCTTGCGTGTGGCAGGCAGAATTCCTGCAGGGACAGACAGCCCAGACCTTCCAGGGATGAGTAGCACCATGGGAGGGTTACAACATTAGAGCAAGTTCCCCCACTCAGGAAGAGGGGTAAGAAGAGTATTTTCGGAGAGCCGTGTGGTGAGGGGGAAAAGTTACTTCTGGTTCCAGGGTGATCTACAGCAGTGTTTCTCAACCTTGGGGTACTCGAGGCACATCAGGGGAGGGGGAGAGTACATTAACAACTGAAATTTAGAGATAACTGAATTTTGGTTTTAAGTTTTACAGTGCTTTATTATTTTTGTACTTTTTACGCCCCAAAATTTCATCGCCCACCCGGCTACGATTAAGTTGTTTAAACAAACGTGTTGCAATGGTAGAAAAAAAAAATTGTGTGTCTGAAAACTGTAGGTACTGGGGGTATTTATATATTTATTTATTTTTTAAAAAGAGGTACTTTATAAAAAAAGGTTGAGAAACACTGATCTAGAGTCTATTTTTGTTCCTGCCTAGAACTACCCCAACACTGCAATTTTGATCCCAGCGTTTAAGGTTCTCTAGGATCAGCAATGAGGCCATGCTTAAGCCTGCAGGGCCGGCCCTAGAGGCTCTGGTGCTGTGCCCAGCCCCCTGTGGGTGGAGGCTGCTCTGCAGGGGGTGGGAGGCGGGGACCAGCCCCTCTCTGGGAGGGAGGTTGTGGGTAGGGATGTGACTATCCGATAAGCAAATGCTTATTGGATAAAATACACACTAGTCGACAGTTGCTTCCCCCCTTTGCTGCTTCTATCAGAAAGAGGCAGTTAGGGGGGGTGAGGAGAGGAAGGGGTGCTTCAAAGCAGCAGTGCCGCATGGAGCTGACCCTGGGGGCTCCCCCGCTGAGCCCAAGCTCCATGCGGTGCTGCCACTTTGAAATACCACGTGGAGCCTGACGCCAGGCTCCCCACAGTGTTTCAAAGAGGCGGCATCACGAGCAGCCCTGGGTCAGCTCCATGCGGCACTGCTGCTTTGAAACCCCATGGGACACACTGCTTGGGCCCCCCGCTGGCTCCATGCTCCCTGCAGCACTTTCGCTTGAAGTGTAGCCACAGCCCTGCTATTGCATCGGCTATTCAATTAGCCAATTCATCAAAATGTAACATCCCTAGTTGCGGGGAGCAGGGAGGCAACAGGGTCTGGGTACACCCCCTTTCCCTCCCCCGCGCTCATGAGCAGCAGCAGGAAACGGAGTGACCTGGTCCCAGCCTGCTGGGTTCCCCCAGCTCCTACCCGTGTCGCTCAGGGGAGGGGAGCTGAGGGAACATCCCCTGCACTCACTGGTGGTGGGAAGAGGAGTGACACAGCTGGGAGCGGATGGAGCAGAGCAGGCTGGGGCCAGGTCACCCTGCTCCTGCCACCCCACTGCTGCTGGTGAGTACGGGGGGGGGGCCCGACCCCTGCTGCCAGGACAGGCCTCCCAGGCCACATCGTTCAAGCCAGAATGCTGGGGGAAAAGGGTGGAGCAAGGGCAGGAAGAGACAGGGTGGGGTGGAGCAGGGGCAGAGTAAGGGGTGTCCCAGGCCCCCTCCCCAGGGACAGCCCTGTTGAACGCAGCCCCTGGGGGTGCAGGCTGGGGGCTGAGGCTGGCCACCAGCACCTCACATTTTGTGATGCCCTACATGGCTGCATATTTTGTGTACTGGTAGGGATGGCCCTGCATGACCAAGATAGGTCTCCCTGAGAAGGGCGATCAAGTCCCAATTAAGGCTAGTTAGCTCCTCAGTTTGGTTTAACTAAGGGCTAGAGGTTAGTGGATGCCTGGCACTCCCCCCAGGGTGGCTCTGAACCCTAAGCGCTGCCTCCAGGCTGCTCGGGAAGCCCATCCAATATTGTGTCACTAGTACAGGTTGGACCTCACTGGTCTGGCACCCTTGGAACCTGGGAATTTGGGAACGGAACGAGGGAATTTGCCAGACCAGAGCAGGTCCCCTGCTGGCAGCTTTCTAGTCCATTGCTGGCTCCACTTCCGGCCCTGGCGGGCCACTCTGCTGACAGCCCCAGCCGGGCTGCCTGCTGATGGGCTCAGCTTGGTAGGCTGCTCTGCAGGGCTGCTGTCCTCCCTTCCCCCGCCGGCTGCCACAGCCCGGTCCCCCTGCTGCACCGCCTCAGCCCTGGATCCGGCTCCCCTGCCAGGGGTACAGTCTCTTCAGCCACAAACTGCAAACCAGTGCACCAAGAAAAAGCCGGAGAGCAGAGCCAGGAGGCCAGGCCATTTAAACAGCACCAGCACCGGCGCCAGCCCCCTGCCAGGCTGCTGCTCAAGTAGGAACTGGGGTGGGGGGAACAGGAGCTGGTGCTGGGAGGTGGGGGAGGGGGGTCAGCTTAAAAGTGGGTTCCCTCCAGCACCATCTCTGCGGGGGGCAGAGGCACAGCAGGGACTGCTACATTTCAAAGGCCAAAGCGCTGCAGTGGGAACACAGGGCGAGCGGCACTGCGTGAGTCCCCGCTTGCCCCGTGCTCCCTGCAGCGCCCCCACCGCCCGCTGCCTCTATGAGAGGCGGGGGGGCATAAGGGAAGCTACTGCAAAGCAGCCGCTGTCCACAGGGGTCCCAGCCGGGAGCTCCCCCCATGTGCCCCCAGACATGGGCTGCTGCTGCCAAGCAACCCCTGTTCACAGCGGTCAGGGCTGTCTGCCACAAACCGGGGCTGTGGGACTCACGCGGACACGGCGCCGCTGCACTTTAGAATACAGAGCCTCAGTGTGGCTGGCTCCTGGCGCTACCCCCGCTGGGGCTGTGCAGAGCAGTCCTATCGACTCATCGTACCGGTGGCACCCTGGACAAACCGGACTGTCTCTACGCAACAGAATAAATGGACACAAATCAAGAATGGTAACATACAAAAACGAGTGAGGGAACTTGGTAATCTCCCTGGACCAGTATTTCCTATAAGCTGAGTGCTTGGGCGGCCACCCAGCTGATTGGCAGAGCACCTATAGATGCCAACAGCTGGTAGCATGTGTTTCTATTGGTGGTATATACCTGCACATGCCTCAGTGCCTATAAAATTTATTCTGCACATATATGGAAAAAAATTAGAGGGCACATTGCCCTGGACACACAGTTGCAGATTTGAAAGTTGTCATCTTCAAGCAAAAAAACTTCAAAAACAGGCTGCAATGTGAAACTGCAGAGCTGGAATTCATATGCAAATCTGACACCATCAGAATGGGTCTGAATAGAAACTGGGAATGGCTCTCTCATTACAATATGTAATTCTCACTTAAGATAGTCTCCCCTCCACCCTGATTGATTTAGCTTTGATGTCACACTCCCATCTCTGGATCCCTACTGCAGTCATGGATGCTATCAAGTGCTGGCACTTCAGCTGCCCTTCCCCACACAGTCATGCTGCTCCTGCCCTCTGCCTGGGAACTGCCCCCCAGGAGCCTCCTGCTTGCTATGCAGGGTGTGGGAGGGAGAAGAGGGGGGTGCTGATGTCAGGGTGTCTCCCCTCCTCCCACCCGTCTCCACACAGAGAAAGGGGATGGCGGGAACTTGGCAATGCAAATCTCTGTCAATTCTCATAAAGCCCACAGACTTTGTCTACACTGCTGGCTTTTGCCAGCAGAGAGTATGCAAATGAAGCACTGATTAGCATTTTCTTGCACTTCATTTGCATAATCTAGTCAAGCTGTTTTTGTGCAAAAAACAAGCAACGTGGACGTTTCCTTTTTGCGCAAAAAGGAAACGTTCACACTGCTTGTTTTTGCGTAAAAACCAGTTACGGAAAACCAGCTTGAATAGATTATGCAAACGAAGCAGGACAAAATACTAATCAGCACTTCATTTGTGTACTCTGCAGGGAAAAGCCGGCAGTGTAGACAAAGTCACACTGCCTTTCACCCTCATCTCCCGACCCAACACATACGTGGGGAGTGGTTGTTGCTAATTTTACTGCTTGCAAAGTGGGTTATTGTTGAGTTTTGACTGATCTGAGCATTTCATAATTTTCATTTCTCTCTTACACTTAAATTTAATTCTTTGAGTAGCGAGTTCTAAAATGCCTAACCTGGTGTGGCTGGAGTCATTAGCCCTATATTGCTGCTCCTGGAGGTGGCTGGTATGTCCCTGCAGCCCCTGAGAACAGCAGAGTAGGGTCTCCACATGCTGTCCTTGCCTGCAGACACCACTCCTGCAGCTCCCATTGATCAAATAGTAGCCCAATGTCTGTGACTCTGTAATGCTGAAACACGAGTTGTTCCCTCAGGGTGGCACTGTTGTCTCCCGCCGTGGTGCTCGGCTGACTTCTGCGCTGTTCAGCCGGGCCGCTGCATGGGAGCAAGGGTGCTGCATGGGGAGCGCGGGGCCCAAATGGCCACTTGTGCCACTTGCTCCCCTGCGGCGGTCCAGCTGAGCGGCGCAGAAGTCAGCCGAGCGCCACGGCAGGAGGCAACAGCGCTGCCCAGAGGGAAGAGCCAGGGGGTGGGGCCTGGACGAACGTGCGTCTCTGATGTCAGGAAAGGGTGCCGGAGTCAAAAGGAGGAAAGCGGAGCAGACACAGTGGACCCGGAGGAAACAGAGAGGGGGACGGAGGAGGCGGAGGATAGTGAGAGAGAGAGAGACGCAGCAGGAGGAGGTGAAGAGAAACACAGAGTGAGAGGTGGGAGGGGGAGAAGAGAAAGACAGAGAGAGAGGCAGGAGGCGGATGAGAGCTGAGAGAAAGAGAGTGAGGCAGTAGGAGGAGGAGAGAGAGAGAGAGAGAGAAGCCGTTTGTGCTGCGTGCTCCCACGCAGCAGCCCAGCTGAGCGGTGCAGAAGTCAGCTGAGTGCCACGGTGGGAGGTGAAGGGGGGGGAGGAGCGGTGATGTACACGCTCAGGGGGTGGGGCCTGGACGAGCATGTATCCCCGAGGGTCCACTTAATGTGGACTTGCTAGTTCGAATTAGCAAAATGCTAATTCGAACTAGTTTTTAGTTCTAGATGCGTTAGTTCGAATTAGCTTAGTTTGAATTAACTAATTCGAACTAAGTTAGTTCGAATTAGCGCTGTAGTGTAGACATACCCAGAGAGAGTGAGAAGCAGGAGGAGGAGGAGAAGAGAGAATGAGAGGCAGGAGGAGGAGGAGGAGAAGAGAAAGGGAGAGTGAGAGGCAGGAGGGGGAGAAGAAAAAGAGGAGACGGAGAGAGAGGCAGAAGGCGGAGGAGAACTGAGAGAGAGGGGGAGAGGCAGTAGGAGGAGGAGAGAGAGAAAGAGACAGAGCAAGAGACCGGGGGCTCAGGAGAGAAGACCGACATGGAGGAGAGACCTGAAAATCCCATCTCATGGCGGGCTAATTGGCTAGTTGTTCAATAACAAGGAACCATGGGCTGTAGACTCTGTGGGCTCAATGCCTGTAGATGAGGGGCCATGGAGCCACTGCTGTACATGCCAGCTGCTCTCAGGAGTGTGCAAGGACAGGGCAGGAGTAAGCCTGTCTTAACTGAGACAGCTTCCGGATGGTGGAGCAGTGGGGTTAAGTGGTGGTCAGCCAGAGCCTGCTTCCTGAACCCATCCCAGCCCTGAACTTTCTCCTGCACCCAAACTCCTTCCCAGAGCTTGCACC